GTCTGTTTTCGTTTTGACCAATCACGTAACTGCGTTCCACTTGCGAGAGTCCGCGCAGAAAGGGAGCTTACTGGGCAGGCAGGCACTTTTGTTACCGCCGCCGCAGCCCCCGCCGCCCGTAGCATCCAGACGGAAGGCCGCGGGGAAGATGCGCAATAGCTGTAGTAGCGTCCGGCTGTGTGCAGCCCTGAGCGTTCGTTGCACCTGCTTCTTGTTTTTTCTCTCCGCCCGTTTGGAGTGGATCGGAGGGATGGCGGAGATTTTTCTTGGCCAAATCATCAAGTAAACATGCACCAAGTAAATGTCCTTGTGGAAATAGGTGCGTAACGCAACACAAACAAGAGTTTGTCAAAGTAGCTCTGTTTCAGCGCGTGGTGTGTTCATTGCCGCAGTAGTTTTTTTTTTTTTTTGCTCCCATCATTGGACTCTGTCGTCTGCCCCTCTGGCCCCTACCCTCCACTTCTACCAGCTAGGACCCAACCGGGGTCACATAGGAGGGGGGGGTTAGACCCCCTCCTGCGGTTCCTGCCTGACATATTTTGTTTCAGGGTGGATATATGTGCGAATGTCTCCGGTGTCTTTCATCGGAAAAATGTGCAGTGATACCGTACGATGAAAGTATGTTTATTTGCGCTCACAGATCAACGTACAGCAAATAGACGCGATTCGCGATGTGGGAAATGTATGTAGTCTAGTGTGCAATACGGTGTGATGTGGACTAGTCTAATCACGCGATATGTAATTGTAGCTGAGAGAAAGATACACGTAACATCCTGAAATAGGGTGTGAGTGTAAAGTGCGCGGTGTGAAATTCATACGGAGACGATGGTTTGGGCGTTCAAATGTGATGTGGAGGCCGGGTAGGGGGTGTTTGACACTGCCGAAGGTGGTGAAAAATGTCAGGAGGGAGTCTTGCTCTCAATCCGGCTATCCGCGAGCATCGGCTGACCAGCAGCTGGGAGCATCGGCTGAATAGCAGCTTGGCCTCGATTTCAGGCACGCTCACTTGCGTCAGGAATCAATCATTAAACCCATTTATGACAATCGAATGAACACGTCAGGGTCCTCCCAAGAAGAGCAATAATAATGTTGTGCCTCCTGTGCGCATGCTTTGTGGCTGCAATGCGGTCTGCACGAACGACGTATGGTGGCGAGTCGGGATGAAAACTTTGGGGATTTGATTGTGACTAATTGGTACAATGATTGTGATGAGAGCATATATATATAACTTCAAATAACTTGACAGCACACACCACCACTAGATCCCCAAGCTCGGTAGCGCTTGGGTCTCTGTCGACCGATACTTTCTTTTTCTGTCCGTGTCATTATCATTCGCATAGCCCATCCCCTGGCCCGACCCGGTCGCAAATGCTGATGATATCGAGCTACAGTGCAAATCTTGTCGCGCCTAAAGTATGGTTCGGTAGGGAATCGCAAACCATTACCCCTCCCCGAGTTTGAGCAGCTTCCACCTCCTGTGGCCGACACTACTCGGCCTTGACAACAGTCTTTTTCACCGAGTCTTTCAGAAGAGCCAACTCCTCCTCCATGGCGCGGGTTCTCTCTTGCGCCTGGCGCTGTCCCGCCACCGCCAACTCCTTCTCTCGCCCAATGGCTTGTTTCTCCTGCTCGGCCTGCTGTTTCTCCTGCTCGGCCTGCTGTCTCCGTGCCCGCTCCAACTTGAGCTCCTCGTCTTTCTCGCGCACCAACCCCAGAGCCATCCTACAACCAGCTTTGCTCTCTGCCTCACTTTTCCTACTTTCGGCCAGCTCCTCCTTCGTTCTTTCCAGCGCTTTCTGCGCGGCGGTGATGCTGCCGCGCTCGATAGCGCGCCGGGTGTTGTCTGCTGCTGACGCCTCAGCCACGGACTTCCCCGTCCTCTCTTCAAACTTCGCTTTGTTTTTCTTTAGTTTCATCGCAGCGCGCCTGCCGCCACCGAACGTCGTGGACCTCCGTTTTCTATTTTGGGGAGGGTCCGCGGTGGGCGCCGCAGACCCGCTTGAAGCACTGCTGTTTTCGGACATGCAGATCTCGGGGTTGGCTGACGCGATTCGGACGCGGTCTGTTGTGCTGTATAGGTGTAAGCCCAACGTAGAGGACTGCAATCTCGCTTTCACGAGAGGAGCAAAGGTCGCCTTGGGCGTGGGCAAAACAGCTGAAATAACCCTGTTTTTCTGTGTTGTTCGTCCGCCCTTGAAACTGAAGTAAAAACCGGAAAAAAATTATGTACCCATATAGAGAGCTGCATTAGACGCACATCTTAGATGCACCCAGCCTGTAACTAGGTTCTGAATTCGGTTCTCTTTTTCGCGCGCGTGTGCTCTTATTATTCTTATTATATTATTAGCATCGACCGCGCTAACCCGCAGACCAATGAAAAGACGTCAGTCTCAGTGCGGCGGGAAACACAAAATGTTTCAATAGTCCACTATCTGGGACCCCGGGACCGAGCGTCGTAGGGGGAGCTACGCTATTCTCAGGATTAAAGACAGATACCGTAGTAATAACAGAAGAAAACTGCACGTGTCTACTAAGACTGTCACCCTGCACTCGACTTCGTTTAGGAGTGCTCTCTCTATCATTCTTCTTGCTTTCACCACTACTACCATCACTATTCTCATCGTCATTTTGGCAGCAACTTTTTGGCAGTTCTTCTTCTTGTCCGTCTTTTGTTGTGCGGGAGGTCCTCTGGCTCGAAGCTCTTGCTCTCTTCCACGCCATGATTCCCTTCTCGACTGCTGTCTTGGTCTCTGTCTTGTCCTCCTCTTGTTCCTTCTGTTCCTCCTCCTTCATCGTTGCCACTCGAATTTCCCTCATCGCCATCATGATGATCGTTTTCGTTGTACTACTATCGAAATCCCAACCTATTGGCCGGGGTGGAAATTGATCCATGAGCAGTCCATGACGTTTAAAAACATCACGAGTTCGTACGGACAGGAAACGAGCCAGCGCGCGTGTGTGTGGGTGTATCTTTATTATTATTATTTTGTTTGCCCTCCGACAATTGCAGATAAATGCAGACATACATAAAAAGTCGATCGTAAAGGCCGTCATGCCAGGCCAAATTAACTCGATGCCCAATAGCTAGGTAGGAATGTTTGCCTCTAAGTCAACAAAACTTTTGTCGAAACACTACAGCTGAACTCTAGGCACGAACCTTAGATGGAGAAAAATGAACAAAACCCCAACCTCATCCACCCGAAATCAAACAAAACTCGGCCCCGTCTTCCCTGGTACCCCTGACACCGTATTGAACAGAAATCCGCTTTCCACCGAAGTGGTTAGGTTAAAGCTGTAGCACGCATATTTCGGCGCGCAAAAGTCTGTGCGGCATTGCTGATCGATATTGCCACCGGTCACACCAAGAGAGAAACATCCGCCGTCTTGCTCTTTCTGAGGCACCCCCCACTCTATCTTTATTGTTAGCATCGACCGCGCTAACCGGCTGACCAATGAAAAGACGTCAGTCCTAGTGCAGTTGAAAACACGAAACACTTCTATCTGCCATGAACTAGGACCCCGTGAGGGGGCAGCATGGGGGAGGCTAAACTAGCTATCCTTCGGATCAAAAACAGAAACAGCAGCAACAGAAGAAAACTACACACGACTACCTTGCCTTGTACTCTAGTTCGTTTAGGAGTACTTTCACCATTGTCCTCCTTGTTTTCGCTACCATNTAGCTATCCTTCGGATCAAAAACAGAAACAGCAGCAACAGAAGAAAACTACACCCGTCTACCAAGGCTATTACCTAGTACTCGAGTTCGTTTNAGTGCAGTTGAAAACACGAAACACTTCTATCTGCCATGAACTAGGACCCCGTGAGGGGGCAGCATGGGGGAGGCTAAACTAGCTATCCTTCGGATCAAAAACAGAAACAGCAGCAACAGAAGAAAACTACACACGACTACCTTGCCTTGTACTCTAGTTCGTTTAGGAGTACTTTCACCATTGTCCTCCTTGTTTTCGCTACCATCATTCTGATAATCATTTTGAAGGTGTGTGTATCTTTATTATTAGGATCGACCGAGCTAACCGGCTGACCGTTGAAAAGACATCAGTCTTAGTGCGGTTGAAAAGTGTGTGGATTTGTGTGTCTTCATGTGTGTGTGCTCTGTGTGTGGTGTGTGTTGCCGTTGTGTGCCGTTGGATGGCGTCTAGTAGTTTGTGCCGTTGCTCCCACGTATGCATGTGCTTGCTGGATACATATGCACATAGGCACAACGAAGGTTAGAGAGAGCGAGAGAGCAACCATGCAACAGCAAAAAAAAAACAAGGGTTAGGGTTACGCGCACACGCTGCCGNACAAGGGTTAGGGTCACGCGCACACGCTGCCGGCACTGAAACCAAGAAAGACCATGCATGCATAGAACGTAAGCAAAACAGATGAGCACACACACAACAAAACACGATCCGGCTGGCCCCTGGCCTACGAGGGTAAATATTAAATATACGACAGAAACAAACATCCCACGCAGAATACACACAAAAACCCGTTTATTTGTACAAAACTCATGGTGAAAAAAAGAGGGGAAGATATACAGCTATTGATGCCACACCGTACGGCATATATGTATTACATCTGCCAGAAGGCAATCAGCCCAACAGCACGTGAAAAACAAATTCGTGCATCACCGTACACCGTACAAGAACACCAAAATACTGAGCCCGAAAGCAGCAACATTTGAAAATCCATCCCCTCTTTACCACACTTTAAATAGCCCCTTGCTCCGACCTGAGGCACCAGATTCTGTACTTGATTTTTTACGTTTTTGCTGTGCTCTGAGTGGAGCCCTCGGGGAAGGTCGTACCATGGACGTTTCGGCAAAAAGCGGTAGCTCGGCGGGCGCTAAACGACGACCGCTCCCACTTATTTCGTGGGAAGGAAAGCCAACCTCTCCGATGCCTCCCCCGTGCGCACTTCTATTTTCCACTCCGCCACTAACTAACTGCTTTGCAACGGACGGTCGAGCCGCACTCTCTGCGTAACAAGCTGGGAAATACCCAGGATCCGCGCTACGTCTAGATTCATCGCCAGTCCCTCCCCCCACCCTCATCCCGGAGTCCACCCATGAGCCGCCGTATCCCTCCCCTCCTACCCCATGGCCCGCCCGAGACCCCACCCCCATTCCAGAGTCCACCCATGAGTCGCCGTACCCCTCCCCTCTTACCCCATGGCCCGCCCGAGACCCCACCCCCGTCCTAGAGTCCACCCATGAGCCCCCGTATTGCTCCCGCTCTGAAAAGGGTAGCGACGCTTGCATTGCTGGAAGTACCCCCCGTAACGTCCGTCCTCCCCGGTCCTCCCCCTGACGGCTGCTCTCCGTTCCTGCGTTCGACGCCCACTGACTGTTGGAGAGGGAGAGAGCGGGTTTGCGAACGGCGTTCCACGTCTGCACACGGCGACGAGAGCAGGCCGCCCCCACCCGCGGCCGTGAGGTGATCGGCACGCACTTCTCCCGCGGCGCCCTCCCCCGCTGCTTCACACGTTCGATGGCCACCTTCCACCACCCGATCGTCCACACCAGAAGCCTGTCCCTGTCCCCGGCCCCGGCCCCGGCCCCGGCCCCGACCCCCTCCCTCCGCTGCGACACGCCCCCCACGACCCCGCCCCCGCCCAGTCGATCGTCCACCGCGGCCCCGACCTGCCACCGCTGCCCCTCCCCCGTCCACGGCACCGCTGCCGGCGGGTGAGCTGGGGTCCACTGCCTGACGACGGGTGCCTGAAAATGTGATGGTCGTGGTGCCACCGGCAGTCTTGGCCGACTCAAGCTCGCTCTTGAGGGTGAGGTCAAAAATTGCCTTCATCTGCCGCATGAGACGTTCATTCCCGGGGATGCTGAGCCCCGACGACGACGCCTGTTGCCCCCACTCCTTTCCCAAAGCGACCCAGTCGGCGTGGATGACATTGCTCGCGGCAGCCTTTATCTTGGTCACACGCTCCCGCTCCGCAACAATGCCAGCTGCCGCGTCGTCTGCGCCCTCCGTACACGGCTCCTCCCGTATCGTCTTCCTGGCGATGGAGGCCATGCTCCAAGGCCTCTCATCTTCCCGCCACCTCGGGTGAAGACACGCCGGGTCAAACTCCCAGCCGCCCTTCGCGAAGAAATCCGCCAGCACTGCCAGGAAATGCCGGCAGAAGCGGCCGGTGTGGAGCAGGTGGAGGCAAGAACAAAGGTAAAAGCCCCCTGGCCCCGTCACGACGAGATGGGCTCGCCCATCCGCACCGCCCGAACGAAAGGATATCTTGTACACTTCCGTGATGTCCTGCCCGTGCAGCAAAGCGCAAAAGGCGGGGAGAGATGTCCGAGCGTACATGGTGGCATCGTCGCCACCGTCGTCGTCGATATTTGGCAAGTCCCTCGAATCCGGAGCGGTGGCGAAACGCACGCCGCCCTCCCCGCGGCTTAGCGTCGGCAGCAGAGTTGTCACTGCATCCGAGCCCTGGGCGAGCCGTTCCGTCGCGTACGTCATGGCTGCTACCGCCTCCGATTTGGTTACCTGAGGCGAAAGAGAATACACCAACGAAAAAGGCCCCCAGACATAGGTCCCAATGGGATGTTCAAAGCGTGCCTTCCTCGAGTACGATCGGGCGGCAGGTATTGTCGGTTGATGGTGTGCTTGGAGGCAGCGTTAATCGAGGGTTTGGGTTTCGGAAGAAACCTGGTTCAAGGCGTTCCATGTAAACCAACACCAGACGCAAAACATGTGAACTGTGGAGTGCCCCCGGCCCGCGAACGTCCGCAAACAAGAAAGGCGACCTCCGGGGAGGGGAGGGGGATCCCTTCAGCTATTTCCACAGCAATAATGTAAACTACACCGCCATACTCCCCAGAAAGAAAATCCACCACGCTACAGCACAAAGGCATCTCACATCCAAGGCGTAGTTGCTTGCTCCGAGTTGCTTGAGCGCCTGCCCAATTGGCTCAAAGAACTTGAGCATAGTCCCCAGAACCCCGCTGCTCCAGGTAGGGTGCTTCATCAGAACCTTGTCGTTGTTGCCCCTGGGTGACACTCTGCGGATATGCACAGCGAAAGGCAGACACACACGTGGGTTGTGAGAAGAGGAAGAGGCATGTGCGTCAGCGCAGGGGTTCATACGTGAATGTCGTTATGTCCGTGGATGGGGCAGGGGAAAGGCAAGAACTCCTCCTTGCCGCCTAACCTAAAATCACGGGTGCAGACATCGCGTACGTCGTGGGGACGTTATTTTTCGTTATTATTCATGGTATCCACAGGGCTCATACCGGGATCCCGGACGTACAAATATTGTAGGCATTTAGCCATGTAGACAAGAAACCCATGATACTCCACATGGTATTCCGCCCACTAATGGGATATGTTATTCTTACGCAACTCTACGAAAGTACCTTTCCGACTCTAGGTGGAGCTTCGCCTCCACGGTCTCTAGAGCAGCGTCCAACCTCGAGAGGGAACTATATCGGGAAATCAGGTGCTTCAGGACGGCGTTCATTCTCTCCACCCGCTGCGTCGACGTGATGCCAAGTGTCAGCGCGCCCGGGTTGAAGCAGAAAGCCCACTTCTCTCTCTTCCTCCCGCAATAAAAAGTTTGGGGGTGTGGTATGACAACAGAATGGTAGTTGCTGTTTGTTGTGTAGTTGGCAGTGGTGGCGCAGTTTGGGTAGATACAACACAGAGTGATCATTAGATCCAAAACACAGGCGCCCAAGCTGTCTTCACCTGACGGTTACAGACTTGGAGACACGCCTTCACAATACTGCACAAAACCCATGCAGTAGAATAGAGTCAGTTCTTGCATACAAATCCCAACATGTCCTCTCAAGAACTACGTCATGACTAGCTCTGATACATAAGACACAAAATTCTTTCTCTCAGTGTCCTCTCGAAACAAATACCAGTGTCCTCTCGACAAATGCTATCAACATGAATGCATGCTCTCGAACAATTCAAATTGAATACTCATCACTAACTGCCAGAGTTTTCTGGGCAGCGAATTCCATGTACCGTCCAACCCTTT